CGTCTCTTTTCTTTTCAAATAGAACAAAAAGGACGAATATACAGACAAGTGAATGTTGTAAAGATACTTAAGATAAGAAACACACCTACAACTATAACTGTACTTATTAATGTAGAACTAAAATATGTCAATTTATACTAATTTTATGAAGAGCAAAGATTTTTGTTTTGTATGTGTTGTAAAAACTACTGGACCGATTTAAAAAATGTTTTTTATATTAAAAAGCTACATTATCAATGAGTAACACAGGCTGTGTTTTATACTCTTTTTATTCTACATGGACAATGTCGCGAGCAACAGCTAGTATTCAATACATGTTTAAGTCTATTAAAACTGGAATAAAAGAATTAAAAATACATCTCCATTTTAGTAAGTTTGTATGCATGTTTACTTTCATGATAGCTGAAGAAATTAACCTAACATTTGTGTTCATATATGTTGGAAATAATTTAATTCTAATATCAATACTGTCACAATCGTGCTAAAGTAAACAGACCATGACAAATGCAACTTTGAATAAGTTACATTGACTTGGTAATAAGGTAGACATGGTGACATTGAAAAGTGCAGCTTACCTATACATTATCATATTTTTTTTGTTATTATTAAAGACTTAGTATTTTAATTTATTCAATTTACACTTGTTATTGAAATTACTTGTGAGTTTTCCATTGAGTATACAAATTAAAAAAAAAACATATTGCTGTATTTTCTTCAGCATATCTCAAAGACATGAAAAAATAATTTGAAATAGATAAAATAATATGTATTAAAAAATTATAATATTTATATTTTTAATCAATACAAATGTATCCTATAAGTATACAAACTTTCCATGACTTTACCTCAAGCAAAACAAATCTAATTTGGGATAACAGACATATAAATATAAAAAAAAAATGTTAAATCCTCTATTTATTGAAGCCACTGTATCTGATTTCATTACACTATAAAAAAATTGTAATTTAAAAACATTACCTTGTCATAAAGATTCTTAACTTCTTCAGTCTCAGTTGGTGACATGACTATCTCATCTTCCTTCAGCACAAGGTCAAGTAATATGGAGAATGCAATACCAGCCAGGATGCACACAACAGGAGTTAAGGTCAACATCAAGCGCACCATCACGCCCGCGAAGTATACCGCACTTAGGGCGTACAGGGCCACTAAAATATACATTTAAATTATATAAATCTGATCGTTTCCTTTGTCAAAATGATACTTCTTACTAATCAAACCAATTCATAATAATGCTAATGTTTAGATGGATGAATATTTGTTAGTGTTTGCAGTCTAAAGTACTGAATGAATCTCAATGAAATTGGCATAGTAGTTTATAGTTTAGTAGAACACACAGGCTACTTTTGAACCCAGAAATAGTTACGGTTCCTATTGGAATCCTATAGGATAAGTTGTTTTGTTTTATTTTATATTTAAATAATCTGTAATCATTCAAATCTCATTAAAATTTGGCATAAATGTTATATTAAATCTGGAGTAATACATTTATCCTCGAAAAATTCGGCATTCCCAAGGAATAAAAGTTTTTGGTTTTTGTATGGGACGAAGTCGCGAGCAAATTACTCCTCTTATAAAGACATATTACCATTGCTATCAACATGGGCGACATTTTAGAGAAATCCATCCACATTTTTGATATGTTGGTTTTCTCAGCTTTATCTCATACTTATCAAAGATAAAACGCATGTTGTACCACAGTATTTGTCCTCAAAACACATAGCAACCCACCATGTTCCACTAATATTTTTCATTTATTTGTTACCTTTTAAAAAATCATAAAACAAGTGTCCAATTAAAATTACGGGTGTTGACAGCCGATGATTTAGTTTGGTTTACGGGGGGACGGCCTATACCATTATGAACCTATTCATAGTGTTTATATCTATTTTATTTTTTGGAGCTAAAAAGACGGGTCAATTGTCTTCAAACTCAAAACTATAGTTTGATCTGAGCAAAATCTAGTTAGATAAAGTTAATAGTACTCCCAAGAGGAAAATGATTTTTTCCATAATGACAAGGAATAAATATTAAGAGCTTCATAAGTATCTTAATTTTGTATATCAACACAATTCCGTACGATTAAAAAGAGATTAATCCATGAAAAGAAACATGAAAATTAATTACCAACATTTTACGATGGAATGCAATTGTTACTTTTTACTGATATCGTTAAATGCCATTTAACATGGCTATTTCAGGAAATATCTTGAAATTACTGAGATAGTACTGTTAAAAAAGATATATTCACTACTCTGTGATACATGAAACCAAAATAAATCCTAATATAAGGAAAATAATGTTTTTATTTTATCATCCCTTTCTTTCTCATAGTATGAGACAGCAATTTGGAAAAAAATTTATAGTACAATAATGGTTTAATTAGTATACTAGAAGCTTTTGCCCGTGACTCAGTCCGCGTGGAATTAAGAAAATAAAAACAAAATCCTATGCATTCTTCCAGAATATCCACTACATCTATGCCAAATTTCATCGAAATCTCCCATTTAGGCTACAAAATCTTACAAACATCCAGCTATTAGGCTACAAAATCTTACAAACATCCATCTATTCGCATTTATAATAGTATGATAATACATACAACTTACCAAAAACTCTTTCATCATTAACATTCTTGATGCAATACCACAATCCTACTGGGAAGGTGCACACAAGAACATGAAGGTCAAAGAAGAATGATGACCAGGTTGTCGGCTGATGTTCTGACACCGATGCTATTATAGGAATGTGTATCTTTGCATATCCTGTATCCCACAGAGAGTAAAACCTAAAATAAATACAAATCTCAATTCATCAAAAAATTTTATGACTTACATATGGTTTCAGACCAAATTTATAAGTGAAAAAGCTCTGTTAGTGTGCTTTTGTTAAAGGGGAATAAAATTAACTAAACCTAAGTGAACCTCTTAGAATAATAAGTGCCATAGTCACTCAAAAAATATTTAACTAAGTTAAAAAAGTAGTACATTATTTAGAGATAGTATAGGTATTTTTTACTTACCGACCACTCCATGGTGCAATAACACCAACATAAGTCAAGAAAACAACCAAGACGAATACTAAAGCAGCTGCAGTCAATCCCCCTACAATTAAAAGCTGTTTCCACTGACCCTTAGGATTGAGACTGTGTAAATACTTCATTGCACCAATAGCCATCAATAATGCAAATACACCTACAAATAATAAAATTATATCAGTTGTAGTAAAGTAATTAAATAAAGCATTTACACTTAGTTATATTTAAATCTAAATTTAACGTGCAGATGGCTATAGGCGTCATTGATCACATCTGTGAACCTGCCGCTTGTTTGCCCCCTTTTCTTATAAAAAAAAAACTAAATCTTGTGAGAAAAAGTTATGTATTGTCTATATCTAGTATTAAATCATAGATTGATTTTCTAACAATTACTATAGATCAAAGATCAATTATCAATTGTAGTTCAATAACACAATTTAGCTTATCAACATTAATAAATTTATTGCAAGAAAATTTTATGAGTTTCGAATTGTTACTAAAACTTTTGTTTCTAAAATAACTAGATATTTTCTTAGGAATCTCTATTTAAAAAGCAACATACAAGAATACTGTTATTGTTGTTTTTAGAGTTTGACATTATGACAAGATGTTGATATAGAAGATTATCTTGGCAGTTTTTTACCTGATGCAGCCATATGTTCACTGGTGCGTATAGGCTGGAAACCTACAAATGGTATCTGCATAGACAACAGCAATCCTATGATATAGAATACGGTATAACTGACAAACAGCCGTTGTGAAAATCTGCCCATGATTAGTAGAACAAATACATGAAGAGGTATCAAATTTATGATGAACACATATCCACCCCATGCTGATACCTAAAACAAATGTTTGAGGTTTTATGTTTTATATACTATATTGCGTTTTTTTAATGATTTATTCTAAAAAGCAATAACTAAAAATAATTGGCACACTCATTTGGCCACTCAACAAGCCCATTAACAACTTTATTGAGATATATATACACTAAGGGCCAGATTAAGTGATCCTTATGTGGAACAGTAACCTATTTTATTTGAAAACTAGGAAAAATAATCATTCATTTATCTTAAACACATCTTTTCTTATTGGATACTCATTATTGATCTAGTGACATTAAAACTGAGAATTGCATATTCTGATAACCTAAGATAACTCATATGCATAAAATTATAATGTTTATATAATACACAAAACTATTAAAATACATACCATGTAGAAATAGGATAGTGCAGTACATATTGACCAAAAGACAGACCCACTTTTCACACTTTTCAACCAGAGATAATATGTAAACTGCAGAGCAAAGATGGCTATACCCTCATTGTCATAGCTGCCAGCCACTGACCTACTACTGTAGCCTGGTACTATCGCTATAAAACAAGCAGCAAATAAACCAGCTCCCCTCGACCATAGCTCTGAAGTTAACAAGTATGTTGCTATGGCCGTCAAACCACTGTAAGAAAAATATGAAATGAATTGTATGTTCCTACAAGTCTGATATTTTATGCATCTAATAAAAATAAAACATTACCTGAATACAGGAGCAAGAAACACACAAATGTCTCTTATATGAATTGGTATGTTTAAGGTGTGCAATAACCAATGAATGGTGCCTGATGTGATCATGAGGCCAGGATATACTGTTCCGCCAACAATACGACCAAGAGGATACCACGCGCGCTCATCAAACCAGTTAAGAAAGTTGTAAAAACCATGCTGCACCATGTACGCGGTGGATCTATAATTGAACCTGAAACACGTATGACCACGTCAAGAACACAATATTTTGACATTATTTTGTGATATTGTCTTGCAAGTACTTACCAAGGATCGAACTCATGAATTATACTTTCAAATCGTATTACAGCAAACAATCGAGATGCAAAACCGGCCAACCAAGCTAGTGTCAGAACTGTGACCGTGATCAACGTACTGAAGCCGGCCGTATTTTGGAATAACCCTTTATTGGGGCCATTAACCGGCTTACCTGCCGCGGTCGCCGGCATTTTTTAATATCACAATTCTTCTATTTAACCTAATAATTCACAATAATAACTTTTTCATACATCAGTTCCAACAAAATGAATTTAAGAAATTGATTGACTTTTCAGTGACGGACACGTCTCTCTCAATATAGTGTTGCTAGTAGACGTGAGCGTTATTTCACGTCACTAGTTACAATCACCTGTGACGAGATATGTAACGGCGTCACTAGCTTCGAGTCAAATTAAAAGTAGTGATTTTTGTAACTACTTAACTCGGGCGTGTTCGGCTCCGAGGTCGTGATTTTTGTAAATGCGTTACTCGGGCGTGTTCGGCTACGAAGTCGTGATTTTTGTAAATGCGTTACACGGGCGTGTTCGGCTACGAAGTCGTGATTTTTGTAAATGCGTTACTCGGGCGTGTTCGGCTACGAAGTCGTGATTTTTGTAAATGCGTTACTCGGGCGTGTTCCGTTTTGAAGTGATTTATATAATGCGTTGCTCGGGAGAGCTCGGTGTCGAATTAGTGATTTTTGTAAATGTAATACTCAGGCGTGTTCGAGTCCGAAGTCGTGATTTTTGTAAATGCGTTATTCGGGTGAGGTCGGTCGGTCAATAGGGAATATTTCTTCTACATGTTTCTACTTGTTATGAGATAGCCAGAATAAAATATTGACTGGAAAAAATTCAACAATTGAGCTAATAAAAAATAAATAACATTGCGATCATTTTCATACGACTAAAACGCGTTTTTTAGTAAGATAGACTTGTAGTTAGTAATCGTACGAACATAATCAAAAATGAAAATAAGCAAGGCATCAGACAGAAAGTTTAATTATTCAAAAAGGCAATACAAATGACAAATTGAAATTATTTTACATCTATTACAGAGGATTTATTTTAATAGGCTATTATTTTTGCAATGGAAATAACTAGTTACAAAAATCACTAGCTTTGAAACATGTGACGCCGAACAAATCACTAGTTTCGTTACGTTTCTCGAAAATGACGTAACGACTCACGCCTAGTTGCTAGAATTAAAAACCCAAAGAAAGTACAAAAGTAAAATATAAGACAATCGGGACATTATGTGCGATTAATTATGTTTTGAAAGAATATGTAATATCCTAAGGTTTATTTGGCAAGCGATAACTCTTTTCACTTCTACGATCTACGTTATGCAAATATTTCTTAATTTTTTGTCGCAAAAACAAATCGATTTCATCTGTCCAGATTTTGTGATTATTTTGACAATTAAATTGACGTAAAAGTTAGACGGAGTTGCGATGAATTACTCTTTGACAGCTGTTTAGAAGTGATATATCCGATATGAAAGTTATTTATTGAATTTCAAAACAATAAAAAAGAAAATTTCATATCGAATCTATTAACTTTAGAAACATATAGTCACCGCAGACACTGAATTTAATTAATATGGCTAATTACCAAGAAATTGTACATTTAAATGTCGGTGGTACAAGGTAATTTAAAATAGATTTCACTAATTTTATTTACGTTTCACTTTCCATTGACTTTCTATGTGATAAGTGTTCATGATAGATTTTTTTCCGTGAATAACCAAAAGTATTAGTGATGATTTTAAAAATATTTGATTAATATCTGTTATTTCAGGTTTGCTACCTCCTGGCATACATTAACTTGGGTTCCAGATACATTCTTTACAGCATTACTCAGCGGTCGTATACCCACAGTGAGAGATGAGACAGGTGCGATCTTTATTGATAGAGATCCCAATCTATTTGGGCTTATTTTAAACTTTCTTCGCACCAGAGATATAGATCTGACCACAGTAAATATAAGAGCACTACGACATGAATGTGATTACTTTGGTATAACCCCACTCTGTAGGAGATTGGCACTTTGCGATGAGATGAATCATTCAGCATGTGGGGATGTATTGTTTTATGGATACCTACCTCCACCATGTAAGTTATTTAATTATACTAACATTTATCTAATTAATCATATAGATATGTTTATTTATATTTGAGAACCACATAAAACATATTGACAAAAACAGTAAATTATAATGTCAAAACAATATTTGCAATATAAAAAAATGATGTTATTTTTTTACTATCAATACCAATTTAAATAAATAAATCAATAAAAATCAAAGAGTGTCGGTGTCTCAGTGATTTGAACACTTGACTTATAATCTACAGGTCTTGGGTTCGAATCCCGTCATGTACCAATGTGATTTTCGATTTTTCAAATTTTCATATGTACATAATTTACCCGACGTTCTTACGGTGAAGGAAAACATCTTGATGCAACCTGCACATATCATCGAAGAAATTCAAAGATATGTGTGAAGTCAACCAACTCGCACTTGGCCAGAGTGGTTGACTATGGCCTAGTCATCCCGTATAAGAGTAGGCTCTGAGCCCCTCGGTGGGGACATATAGTGAGCTGGTGATGATGATGATGATGGTGATACTAATTAAATCGAAATATTGTCTTTTTAGTGAATCCACCAATTCCTGGTAATGGGAACACAAGAAATACTACCAACTGTTCGAGGAAGAATTCTACAGCATCAAACACAGATGTCGCTACAAATAGATCTCATTCCAGAAACTCATCCCTTGACCTTCGCACAGTTGGTAGAATACCATCACAAGATCAACTGAGGCAAGTAGTATAATACTGCATAATATAAGAAACCATACAAAGGTGTGGTATTTTTATGAATGTAATATTCAATAATTGTATTAGTATGCATCTCTGTTGCCAGATGATGATCTAACCTAGGTCTCGGGATTGCAGCTAACAGCTACTATTAATATGGTGTGATTCAAAGTATTTTACATCTAATTTTGATTTTTCGATGTTCTTTAGCCTCCTAGACAAAGTGACTTTCGATTAGCAATATTGCTAGTAAAATAGACAAAATGTGTCAAAACTTATAAGAATAAATCTATAACTTATCAAGAGTTTTGTCAGTTCCAGAAGTTTTTGATTTTTCGAACAGCAATTTTGATAATCCAATGTTAATTTGTCTAGGTTGAGTTTCAAAGTTGATAAAACACTTGTAATGGTTAAACAATTGTGTTCAAATATGTAATTAATTTTATCTGTTTAAAAATTTAGTGTAATATTTGCCTTTTCAGCCGATGCGGTAGAGGTCATTCTAGAGCAGCTTCTCTCGGCAACACTGAGTGCCATAAAGGTCTGCGTCCACCTGAAAGTATGCTCAGTGTCTATTACTTCTTATAACTGTGTTTCTCAGTATTGATTTAATAATAATGTTTTATTATTTAGTGAATACATGGGCAGACAGTTTGAAAGTACAAATTATCAAGGCACATCACAACTGGATAGCTGTTGCATATACACATTTTGTTACTGGATACAGGTTTGATAACTTTGTATTCTTAAGCATCATCTCCCCTGCCATATCCTACTCCCGTAGAGTCGGCGCACCGGGTTTTCGCCCTCCAAATAACTATTATCCATCATCTCAGTCATCACTCCCTTCTTGATCATGTCACCTTTCACACAATCCATCCATCTCTTTCTAGGTTTACCCCTATTTGTGTATCCCTATTGGTGTATCCCTCCACATTCATAAGTAACATCCATCTTGTTACATGTGATTCATCCCTTCTCATAACATACCCATACCACACTAAAGTTAATAATAAAAGAAAATAAAATTAGTAGCCTATTTTTGTTCGTATCATTAGATAGATTTCTTTTTAATTAGCATAAATGGCTAGTATGGTCCCATAACGTTAGCGAAAAAATTTTCTGGGTATTAACTTCATCTCTCATATTTACATTTACTATTGCATTACTACTGGCATAGACAGAGACCTTTCATTGTTATTGAATATAGTGAATGATCGGAAATATTTATATTATTATGGAATTTCCTATTGTTAGAGTCATTGAGGAAGAAATATTTGCTTGAGATCTTGATCCATTGTTTCCTAAATATGGTAATGAATGAAATATTGACAAAATATTGTACTTTTAGATTAACCGACTCTTGTGGTTGGTATGTGGTATTTCAATCGCCCGTACAAGATTCTGTGATAGAACGTATAGCATTGAATGCTAAAACTGGAGGTGGGGCTACGTCCAGTGGCAGTAATACGTCCGGTACTGATGTTATGCTGGGAATAGCAAGCGGCCCACTTGTACGGTTATGGGCATTCTCGACTCATACGGAGCCAGTCAGAAGGACTTTAGTTGGTAAGACTATGTTGTTATCTGTAATTTAAAAAAGTAAACACTCTTTGTTGTGTACGATGTCGGCTATCAGAGCCTGTAGGTTTTTAAAGTTTTTTAAATACAGAACCCTACACTTACGACACGTTATAGCATATATGTTTTCACGCTATTTCATTTAGGGTTAAGCATATTGGAAAGAAAAACTATGCAAGAATGGGATTAAAACGCTAAGCCAATAGCAATAAAGTATGGTTACTGTGGTAACGGTAATTGTTAGCCAATAGCAAAGGTCATGGTTGTCACTTGTTTATTGGTAATTGTAAGATTTTAATTTTTTGGATATTTGTATGTATTGAAATAACTAGAACTATTGGACCATTAAAAAGCTATATTATCACTAAGTAATATAGGTCATGTTTTTATTGTTTTTTTAATTCCACGCGGACAAAGTTGCGAGCAACAGTTAGAGGTTTACAAATTACGAAACAGTACAGCATGTATAATTTTAGTAAGTGTGTGTTGTGATACTGTCCAGGTACGTTCAACCTGGGCGTGCGCGTGGAGCAGCTGGTGTTCGTGGGGCCGCAGCTGGTGGCGCTGAGCGGCGCGGGCGCGCGCAGCAAGGCGGGCGTGTGGCACACCAGCACGCAGCACTGGCAGACGCAGGACGTGGCGCACCTCACCACGCACGACACTGCCGGCTCCTTCCTGCTGCTCGGCACCGCCACCGGAGCCATCAATTATATCGGTAAGTATATCATCACCAGCTCATTATACCCCACTGAGGGGCTCGGAGCCTACCCTAATTTATCGGTGACTAGGCCATAGTCAACCATGCTGGCCCACTACGGGTTGGTTGACTTCACACATATCTTTGAATTTCGTCCCCAATATAGGCATGAACGTCGTTTAATTTATGCAAACCACTTTGGTACATGGGGGGTTCAAACCCTTTATTGCTTAAACTTCTGAGTCACCAACGCGCTAAGCAAAAAGAGACATGTCTTACTAATATTATAAATGCGAAAGTTTAAATGGATAGATGTTTGTTAGAGTTTGCCCACTGAACTATTGAAAGGATCTCGAAATTTTGCATAAATGTAGAACATAGTCTTGAAGAAAAGATCTTGTTCGTTTGTAACCTTTGTAATGTGTCTGTCAAAAGATGAAAAAAAAGAAACGTCATCTGTCACTTTTGAGAGCCACACACACGTGTTCTGAAAAAACGTTGATTCGATTATTTTCGCCGACGCTTGAGTTTTCCATTATTATTGTTTCTTGTGCCTACTGTTTTTCCTCCTTTTGGATGTGGAAGTGTTGCTCCTACAGGCAGCGTAGTAGAAGGAGGAGTGTGCCGTCTGGGATCGGAGTATCTGTTGCCCAAAAGTTTAGGAAGCAGTCAAGAAGCCGAAGGCAGCCAATGAACTGAACCCAGCTGATGTGCTTGTCGCTTCCTTGTAAGCGAGGTTGATCGCCGTTTTAGTTTTTTAATTTATAACTTTTTTTATATAACAGAATAACGCGACACCTTACATTATATAAAAAATGTAAACCATGTTATTCATTTATTTGCAGATATGCAGAAGTTCCCGCTGCGTATGAAAGACAATGATCTTCTAGTAACACAACTTTACAAGGATCCCAATCAAGAACCAATCACTGCAATATCCGTATATCTTACACCCAAAACAAGTAAGTAAAACATTTTTTTTTAATTTATACTTTCTTACAGATATCTACACTCTAAACTATGTAAGGTGCTGAATATTTTTTTATGAATAAATACAAAAAAAGCTAATTTTAAATAAATACTTCAAATAAATTTTTCAGATCCAGGTATGTATTTCCATATTGTACAGATCTTATTCATGAAATATGGTAAAACCATTGAATACATTTTTATTATACAGGAATATTTAGTATCAAAGTGAAAAGATAGAATTCCATAAAAAAAAGTCAATAGTCCACCAATATACGGCGGTAACAAACATGACGTAACAATCTTAAAATATTTATATTAAATTAATGCATTGCAATGCATAAAACATTTACTTTAAAGCATTTTTTATGAGAACGTTATTTTTGTAATAATAAATAATAATAATCTATGATTGGATATTTTGTGGACTTACAAATGTAACACTTTATGCCATGACAATATAAAAAAAAACAACGAACGAATTAAGCGGGAATCTGTTTCGGCAGCGTCATATCTAATGACATTGCAAAAAGTAATACAGAAGATGTAAAAACGGAATTTACTAAAGTCAAGTTTAAATTTAGTTTTTATTTTATGCTGTTTTATTTAGTTACTCGTATGTATGTTTTTTAATTAGATCTGTGCGGCAACTGGATAGAGATAGCGTACGGCACGCGGTACGGCTCGGTCCGCGTCATCGTGCAGCACCCGGAGACCGTCGGACATGGGCCACAGCTCTTCCAGACCTTCACCGTGCATCAGAGTCCTGTTACCAAGGTGAATATATAATTATTTAGTATACCAAGATAACAATTTTAACCTATTCAACTTGTATGAATTTTTAACTTCATACCACCCTATCATGGCTTAATAAAAACAAACTAGCAACGCAAGCGTCTTGTCTTGACATCTGTGACTTGTTCAATTTATACAAATTAAAACTTTAGGTATTAAAAGTGTATTTATTAGTGCCTTTTATCACTAATGCCTGGAACCACAATAATAATGCTTTGGCTACTCGCTCAATGAAATAAAGATCTAATGCTACCTAAATACCTTTCAAATAATTATATGTCTTTTGGGATACATAAAATGAGGTTATTTCCCCTTTTTATGCCCAATTACTTCAAATTTACTCCTTTCAACCTTTTTCTTACAAGAGAAACAGAACTAAACAAGTCTTTCGTAAGCATACTCTTCGGATTGCATGCGGAATTACTTCCACTTCACATCTATCTGTGTAGTCGGTGTATTGCGGGATGTGAGCTGGCACATTTGTGCAACAGATGTTTCATCATCATCATCATCACCAATTCACTATATGTCCCCACCGAGGGGCTCGGAGTCTACCCTAAGTTAAAGTGACTAGGCCATAGTCAACCACGCTGGCCAAGTGCGGGTTGGTTGACTTCACACATAAATTTGGATATGTGCAGGTTGCACAGATGTAAACTATAAAATCGGTGTTTTCAGGTGTCATTATCAGAGAATTACTTAGTGTCAGTATGCAGTGAGTACAACCACGTGCGGTCGTGGCGCGTGACTCGCTTCCGCGGTATGATCTCCACGCAGCCTGGTACCACGCCCAAGGCAGCCTTCAAGGTGCTAGCATTGGAGGCGCCCACTGCACAGCCGCATAACGACTGTGGTGAGTTTTTTTTTAAAATAGTAAATTTTTGTTAATCTTACTAATATTGTAAATACGAATGTTTAGATGGATTGATGTTTGTTAAAGTTTTTAGCCTAAACGGCTACACGGATCTTGATTAAATTTGGCAAAGACGGAGATGATAGTCTGGAAGAACACATAGGCTTTTAATTTTTTTTTTTAATTCCACGCGGACGGAGTTGCGGACGACAGCTAGTTTATTAATATTTATTGTACCATCCAACTAAGCTCTAGGGTTATGCTACGGTAGAGGTAGTGAGCGTTTATGCATTAATGTGCCTTTTTTAAAGAAATGTTTAATGCGGTGTTAGTCGTGCCATCGAATAATTTTTACTGCTGTTATAACACCAATACCATAGTGCATTGGTAATTTTTTTGTAGGGTTTTTTTATTATCGACGTGTCAAAATATTATGTCTTGTGCTAAGGTATGGTTTACGACAACATTCGAATGCAAGATCCGAACCCTCGACCACGTGATTGGAATCCATACCCCTAACCATTAAGCTATTGGCGCTTCTTACGGGTTACTTTGATAATTTTATATAAGCGTAATGTATGTTTGTTAACTTGTAATTTCAGGACCTTATGGTGAGCAAGATGAAGAACAAATATTCATACAGAAAGTTGTCCCTGATACCGATACTTTGTATGTACGATTGGCTTCTAACGGAAAAAGGTAAGTCCACTAATTTGCAGTAATATTTTCTCGATAAATCCAAAAAAGTAAATTACAAGGGGAATGTTACAATGTAAATATAAAAATGGTTCGTTATGTATCTTTTCATAGGAATTAGTATGAAAGCAAATTATATGTGTATTTACTACCATACATTACATACATTTATCACAAATGTGGTATTTATTTTTAACAGTGGTAGAGCCCGCTTTAACATCTTTGCACGGATGGGTCGGCTCGCCCGGTGAAATATCACGACCACACAGAAGACAGGTGTGAAGTGGGAGCAATTCCACGTTTCGTCTGATGAGTATGGTGCCGGAGGCCCAATTTTATTCCCTTTCCCGTTCCATCCTCTTCTTATAAGGAAAGGATTGGATGAGAATGTGGATTTGAAGGTGGAGGAGATGCATAAAGCGGAAATATCCTCTTTATGTGCGTCTCCTCTTCCGTCGATTTAGGGTAGGCAACGCATCTATAATTGCGGATGTCTATAAGCAGCGGTCGCTTCGCAATTTTGGCGAATTTATGTGGCCGCTTGCTCGTTTGCCACCTTTTAATAAAAATATTTGTGATTTTATAAAGTAGAAGTGTATGCTAGTTGGTTATGTTGTCAGGGTGTGTACGATCCGTTCGGTGGACGGGTCCGCGGTGTCGTGCTTCACTGTGGCGGAGTGCGAGGGCGCGCTGCGGCCGCGCCGGCTGCTGCTGTGCGGACACCGCTCCGGCGCCGCGCAGCTGTGGGACCTCACAGCGCCCACGGACCGCGCCGCGCGCCTCGCCCCGCCCGCCGCCGCCGCCACCGGTCAGTAATACTGTATTTTTTTTGTTTTGTTTCCTATCCATACATATGTATGTAATGTATGTAAGGTACATATTACTTGAGTGCGAAAGAGCCAGCTGAAAATCAGCATAGGAAGGCTAAATCCGTCCTGCATACGCTGAGCTGGCTATCTTTTGCCACGATTGTATGTTTTTTGGAATGAGTCCTTTTATGTAATTTCTTTTTTTGTGGCAATAAATACATATTCATTCATATTCATACATGATCACCACCGCACTATACGTCCCTACTAAGCACGCTGACCCAGTGCATGTTTGTAACTTTCCACTAGGGTTTTAACGGAACTGCGCTTCCGCATCCGCAAGAAATATTAACTCCGCATCCGCTTCCGTTATTTATTATGCAATGTTATAACGGAGGTTAATAAACGTCTTTAACGCGAGTGGGGCGATTAGGTATTGTTTATGCGGCTCGACACTTTTTCATACAATCATCACTGATGATTAGTAAATCTTCAAAAGCATTTGATAGATTAATTTTTGTTGTTTTAAGCGCTGCTGTCCTATTTTACTGACCAAGTCAAACACACATAGGTTACTTATTTTGTTTTCTTGAATTCCACGCCGACGGAGTCGCAGGTGAAAGCTAATAACTTTATAATTCCAGGTGAGGGGGAGGAGTCTCCGGTGGGGGAGGGCGGTCCGTCCCCCGACGAGTTAGTACGGCTACTGTCAGCGTGCGAGCTGGACGCGGCGCCCGCGCTGCCGCACTCGCCCAGCCGCCTGCAGCTGTGAGCCCGCGCCCGCGCCCGCGCCCGCGCCCGCGCCCGCCCCCGCGCCCGCCTGGCGCGATACGCAGGTTGTATCGCATTATTCTACAATAACTGCTACTTGAATATACCTTGGCTATGGACCCAACACTGATGTGCAAAGTTAGCGCCAATAGCCTAATGGTAGGATTTCCGATCACGGGGTCGAGGGTTTGGATACCATTTGACTTGTAAACCTTTTAGCACAAGCCTAGAGCTTAGTTGGAATGGTGAAAGAAATAGTACATTAACAAAATCTAATATTTTATATATAAAAAGTTGACTATAACAATATCAAGGGAATCGGTAATTGTCAACTGTCAACTATGATCTACGGTCTTTATAAGCATCATGGAGAAAGGCAAGAGGGCAGCCTCCTCTAAGAGACCTCCCCAGACCAAGTCAGATAATCGACTGACAGCACCTATCATGGTCTTTTTGTTAAATTATCACAAGTACATAAGTAACGGCGGATCTACGGGGGTGCGGGGGAGTCGTGACCCCCCCTGAGCTGGTTTGTCAAGAGCTTGACAAATTATATTTACATATTTTGTCTAGTTCTTGACATGACCAAGACTATTTGACCCTCCACTGGCGCCAAAGCTGGATCCGCCCTTGTACACAAGTACATTACAAACCACCACTAAATGTGCTATGTTTGTACTATATTGGAGAAAAAATGTTTAAAAAAAAAAACATGTTTTTATTGACAAGCGATAGGCTCTAAATCGATTTTTTTTACAATTAATGTATATAGCTTTTTTAAATATATTATTTACATCTTTATATTCGGTGCGTTCTTTTAAGTTATAGTGTTGTTATAAAACCACATATTCCTTAAAAATTTATTGAAGACATTAAATATGCCATAATTTACGTTAATTTTATGTTCGTAAAAAGGTGCAAAAATACTGTACTTGTAATTTTTACGTATTCAAGCTCATACACCTTTACAATTGGTAAGTATTAGGTTAGCAATCATATCTCTAAATATACAAAAATAACAATAAATTTTATGACCATTATAAGCGTTATTGCCCCTTGTAGGCACTCACCTTATTCCATACTATAAAAAGTCATTCAATTGACCAATTGACAAATGAATGACTTTTTGTTCGATTAAAATGGTCTGTTGAAATAATTATACTATAAAAGAAAAAACGACGTTACTCCGATTGATAAACATTTATTTGTCAAAAAAAAAAACAAATCATTCTTGACAGAACATTATGACAGAGAGTATTTTAGATTAAAAACAGAAATTCCAAAGAGTATTTAAACATGCCTAATCTATGATTTTCAAAAAAAATATATATAAATAACTTAAATAGTTGTCGTAGAAAAAAAAAGTAACTAATTAGAGCTAACTAATCCTAAACTCACGACACATTTCTTGTGAGCAACACGCCTTAACGGTTTCGTTAAAATATCTGCCGAGAGATCGCCGTAAGGCAAATAATCTATAGAAAATAACTTCTCGGCAACCTTTTCACGAATAAAATTAAGGTTCTGAGCTTTCTTTTGTGCACTTTGACTATATCCACATAAATATACATGTTCCAAGTTTCCACCTACATCATTTATGAACCAGCGCAGAAACATAGCTTCTTTAGCAGCACAGCAGAGCGCCATATTCTCATCTTCTGTAGAGGAAAGCGCCACTGTCGGCTGTCTTGGCTACCCAAGAAACGGGACCGCCTGGTAAAATGAACACAGAGCCAGTATACGAGCGACGATCAACAGGGTCATTTGCCCAGTCTGCATCAACATAACTGGTCAAATACATACCTGTTTCTCTATATCTATACTATTATAATAAAGCCTAAACACACACTATGTTGCCTAAGATATCAGCAATTACAGCATATTTTTGAATAATTTTTTTTTATATAAAAAGCGCTCCAATTACGTCATGCTTTAGGCTATATGTTTTCACGCCATTGATCTTAGGGGGTAAATATTTTGGATAAAAACCCTAATGTGGGATAGAGACCATAAGTTGCTGCCAACATCAAGGAAGCAAGGTTTGCCATGGTTTGTCATCATGCCATGTCATTTTGACATTTGTAATTGATAATTTGACATATGTAAACAATATAATAAATTTTCATAATTTTACGCAGATGAAGTCGCACGGTAACAGCTAGTGTAATACTAAATTGGCTCAAATAGCTTATTGCGTATGCAATATCTAGACGAGTGTTTAGTGCGATATATATTTAAGACCCTATTATTGCTCGATAGGCTCGAATATTATCAAAAACATCACTATTTTCAGGTGAAATCCTTTCAACGACTAGTGGAGTATCAGCATTTCAAGCTGAAGTAAGATTGTATTTCTTCAGTAATGTGGTGACCATACTTTTCTGGTTAACGTAAATAAGACCATGAGTTTTTGAAATGTTGACTTTTCAGAGAAAAACATTTATCCAAATCAGCTCTAACAATGTCATAATGACGTCTATTTTTGTAAAAAACAATTGTGTCATCTACGTAAACTGTCAGTGTGACAATCTCACTCTCAAACTTCTTTGTGAAAACACATGGTTCTGAAGGAGTTTGAATAAAATTTATTAAAAATAAAGTTTCTTTCAACTTAGTGTCCAAGCTCTCGGCGCTTGCTAGAGACATACAGCGACTTCTGTAGTAGGCATACTTTATTACGATTACCGTCTTGTATGAAACCTTCAGGTTGTTCCATTAACACATCCTCTTCCAGGTCTCTGTCATAATGTTTTATCAAGAATTACTTGTTTTTTGTTTTTACAAATAAATGTTTATCAATCGGAGTAACATTGTTTTTTCTTCTATAATATATTTATTTCATGGTCACTTTAACTGGTTATTAATAAGAATGCGGAATTAGATTTCATCAAACAATATTTTTGCTGTAAGTGGAAGCTCAACGAAGGACACTGTACCTACGAAATTACTATAATTAATTGTTTAAAATGCTTTTATTTACAAACTGAAATGGTTAGATTCTAGAGTTTACATTTTCCTAGTTGTAATCTAGCGCAGTATTCAATCACTGGACTGGAATAATGTAAACTGGGTTACTTGATTGTAACTGCGTCTAAAATCGAATTTAAAGGTGAAGTTTTGTATATTAACTTGATAGTGAATTGATTTTAAAACTTGTTAATAAATTACAATTTGAAGTAGTTTATTTATTTTAAAAAAAAAATATGATATTAACTTTAATGTTGTAAAAGGTAATATTGTTTATATCTATACTACACGTGCGCAATAACATTACACTTGAAATTAATATACGTGGAAGAAGGATTAATATTCAATACAAAGACTTTTTTCTTTATGGGCGTCGTTATGCCGCCCTCTCGTTACCCTTAACTTTTGTTTGGAAAGGAAAGCAAAGGAAAACAAACAGAAAAAGATTTTATAGTTTTTTCTCACAGGAATGATGTCTGACAGCTGCTTTCAAATTATAAAAGAATTTATATTAATACCTGGTTTTTTATTGAAAGCACTCAATAGGCGTTGAATAGTTCGTTTACTTGGCAGTACTTTTAATTTTGTTAATAAATTGTAACCTTTTTGGCTTTGCTTTAAATATGGATGCTGCCATAATCATTTCCTCTAGAGAAAATTTTCTTACTTTCGCCTTAAGTTTTGCTTTTAATTGCATTGTCATTAATGTTTTAATGAATCCGGCGTTTTTTTCAATAATTCTCATGAAAGGTCTCATGGTCCAGATTCTGACAATTTCATAGCAGCTTGAAGTTTCTTTTTTGAGTTTCACATCTTTGAGTTAATTTTAATATTCTCTGCGAGAGCCTGTTCACTGCTTTAACTCCTTGAAACTTAAGACCTCTAAATTGCCGCATCATTGTATTTTTGTATTCGGAGCTTCTCATTAAAAGGAATAGTATAACGACTAACCCATGATAGGATTTCTCGATCCGTGGTTATACTTTTCCACTTATTTAGGAAACATTTTAACCTGCCTCCGTCTAACGACGCCTCTGCTGTTGCATTGCTGTTGGCGATGAGGGTATTTGGACGGAGCGGGCCCCTCGAGTTTAAAGCAACCGAAGGTGTTTTGTTTTTGGTCATAGTCAGCCTGGGTGTGGTTGGTCTTTTTAAGCGAGCGTTCGCACGGACGCGAAAACGCTAGGCGGTAACTATGTGTCAAAATAGAACGTATGGGATTGTATGAAGCTGTTCATAC